TTACTTTTAAATAACAAATTTAAATATTGAAGTTGTGTCCAAATTTAAAGAAAACAAAATGCATACCTTCAAAAATTGGAAACCAGGGTTTTCTTAGATCACAGACACAGTCACTAATGATTTTTCTAAGCATTTGTACTACAGTAATTACATTTCTTAGAAACTTTAATGCATTGCAATTTAAAAAAAAAATGTAAAGGTGCCTTGTTCAACAGACATGAATTGTTCAAGCTCTTTTTTTGTCAAGCAAATTCCTTCTTAATATAAATCATGTTCAAGTAAAGAAGGAATTTTCTCATTTTGTATAAAGAACTAATTTTGTTTGTGGTTCAATGGTGAGAAAAAGTCCATCACAAATGTTTGTTTTACGGGACATTTTTAGTGTGAGGTGTTTGTACTAGAAGGTGTCACTGTGTTCTGTGAGTATAGGAACCTTTTGAATACCCAGAAGAAGCACATTCCTTGAATGACTTCATCAGGTGCACATCCATGCTGAACTGTTAGTGACATCTATGTCCACGCATGTTGCTGAAGGATGATTATAAAAGTTTCTCATGTATTGGATGAAATACTGCAATTTTATTTGGAATTGAATGTTGTTTTTTTTTTTTTTACTATTTGCAGGACCACATCCAGGAGGTGCTGAACAAGTGGGAGCACATTGATGATGAGATCTGGGCAAAGGTGATTGTGATGGAAAGGAACAAGAGGGTGGCCAAGGCTTATGCCAGAGCACCTGTGTTGACAGTCAATGGATCTGATGATGGCTTTGATGGCTACAGGTTGGTGACAATCTTTCTCTTTTTTTTTCTTTGCCATCCTCAGTAAATATGTTCTGACAATCATAATTTGTTTGAAATTTTGTTGTGAGCTTCATTTTTGGTGTACCTGTCCAACATTTTTTTAGCAAGTCAAAAAAATTTATTACAACTCACCAAAACTTAGTACAATTAATGGGAGGATTTGAGGTATAAGACAAGGCATGTTGAAATATTTACAGATGATTGTATCAGTGGAATCTTGTAACAAAGCAATGGGGAAAAGGAGATGAACCTTGTTATTTCTACTTTTTCCTATAAATACTGTATTTATTCAGGTACAACATGCCCTTGATTAAGATGTGCACCTGGATTTCTCAGCCTGAATTTTGGATTTTAAAAAATATCCGCAAGTAAAACACACACCTTATTTTTTGGACTGGAAATTGCAATACTGTATTTTGAAAATAGTGGACAGTACATCAGAATTTTGACATGAATTGTACTCAAATTAATTTTTGATTGTTTTATTTTTTGGGAATTCCCTGTTGGAATCAAGTATGATGCTCACCCAAGAT